GGCGAATCAGAATTTGACATGCAAAAAGAGGGTTTATACAAACACCACAGAAAACCACGCCTAGCCAGAAACGAAGGTTCTGATTGGGTCAGACAAAAGGAAATGCGGTGTGTGGCTTTTAACATTATGTGTCCTTAGTGTCTAGTGCAAATGTCCAAGATTATAATAACTTGTAAAATACTACTGATCACAGGATTATAATATCAAGTAATAACATTGTCATTTCACAGATTGATTGAACATTGGGCTCACATTATTATTGGTAATTAACAAAGTTGTTGATTATGTATTTATCAAAATAGTTCTTCGTCTTCGCTGTAACAGAGGTGAAGCAGTTCAGATGAGCAGAGTGCATGAAAGACCTTGGCCACTATCTCATGTAGATTAGCCTGTCAGAGACTTTATGTCTCTGCTTGAGCAGACACAGCAGATCATGACCTTTAGGTCAAAAAAAGGACATTCATTACACTACATCAGCAATAAAAGGTGGGTTTAAACTAAAAATTCCCATCTCACCCTCCACGGGTGGTCTCGTCCTTCCAAGCTCGAGTCCTCTACCAGAGGCCTGGGAGCTTGAGGATTCTGCATGTCTTACCTGTTTCTAGAACTGCTCTTTTCTGGACTGAGATATCTGATGTTTATCCTGGGATCTGCTTTAGCCACTCCTCCAGTTTGGGGGTTACTGCCCTAAGTACCCAGATGACCACGGGCACCACTGATGTCCTTACTCTCCAGGCTTTTTAAAGTTCTTCTTTAAGGCCCTGCTTCTACTCTAGTTTCTCGTGTTCCTTTTTCCCGGAGTTGCATCACTTGGTATTGCCACGTCAACCACACCAGCTGTCCTGTCCTGTTGGTTATCATCACCATTTTGTCAGTGTGGATCTGGAAGTCCCACAGGAGCTTGGCTCTCTCATTCTCTACCACCTTAGGGAGGGTTTCCCACTATGGCCTTGGGCTTCCAGTCCATTATCTGCACAGATGTTTCTGTACACAATGCCAGTCACTTGGTTGTGGCATTCTATGATGGATTGTCTCAGGGGCCTTTGCATAGCCTGTACCAGGGCTATTCAAGTTCGGGACTTGAGGGTTGGTATCCAGCATGTTTTAATTGTTTCTCGGGTCCAACACACTAGATTCAGGGTTTGAGTCACCTGTGCAGCAGCTTATCAGGCTCAGCTTATAGGCTTTCACCTATTGAAATCAGGTTTGTTGAAGCAGGGTTAAAACTAAAACCTGCTGGATACCGGCCCTCGAGGCCCGGAGTTGAATAGCCCTGGCCTACACCTTGGACCTTGCCTGGTGTGGTAGATTTTGGCCTCTGTTGCTCTGGTGTTGAGAGCCAGTTCCTGTGCAGCCATGATGATTGCCTCTGTGCTGTCCAGACCAGCTCTTTTTAGCCACTGGTAGGATGTCTAGATATCAGCCACTTCATTTATCTGTCGGTGGTACATCCCATGTAAGGGGTTTGTCCTCCCACGATGGTATTTCCAGTGTCTCCTCCTCTGTTCGCCATCGTCTGAGACATTCAGTCGAGTTTGTCCTTGATGTACTTTTAGTTCTCACCAGGGGTCTCACATTAGACCCCTGGTTAGACCTCAACACCCCCCACCCCCGTTCTGAGGGCCAACGGTTCGTAAAAATGCCAAAGCCGATTGTTAGTCCCAGTCCAGCCCTTGCTCTCACACTCATATATACAGGTCCTTCTCAAAAAATTAGCATATTGTGATAAGGTTCATTATTGTCTGTAATGTACTGATATTCATGCATATTCATTCAGATTCATTACACACAACCAAAGTGGTTCAAGCCTTTTTTTGTTTCTAATATTGATGATTTTGGCATACAGCTCATGAAAACCCAAAATTCCTATCTAAAAAAATTAGCATATCATGAAAAGGTTCTCTAAACGAGCTATTAACCTAATCATCTGAATCAACTAATTAACTCTAAACACCTGCAAAAGATTCTTGAGGCTTTTAAAAACTCCCAGCCTGGTTCATTACTCAAAACCGCAATCATGGGTAAGACTGCCGACCTGACTGCTGTCCAGAAGGCCATCATTGACACCCTCAAGCAAGAGGGTAAGACACAGAAAGACATTTCTGAACAAACAGGCTGTTTGCAGAGTGCTGTATGAAGGCACCTCAGTGGGAAGTCTGTGGGAAGGAACAAGTGTGGCAGAAAACGCTGCACAACGAGAAGAGGTGACCTGACCCTGAGGAAGATTGTGGAGAACGACCGATTCCAGACCTTGGGGGGCCTGCGGAAGCAGTAGACTGAGTCTAGAGTAGAAACATCCAGAGCCACAGTGTACAGGCGTGTGCAGGAAATGGGCTACAGGTCAAGCCACTTTTGCCTGACCTGGGCTACAGAGAAGCAGCACTGGACTGTTGCTCAGTGGTCCAAAGTACTTTTTTTTCGGATGAAAGCAAATTTTGCATGTCATTCGGAAATCAAGGGGCCAGAGTCTGGAGGAAGACTGGGCAGAGGGAAATGCCAAAACGCCTGAAGTCCAGTATCAAGTACCCACAGTCAGTGATGGTCTGGGGTGCCATGTCAGCTGCTGGTGTTTGTCCACTGTGTTTTATCAAGGGCAGGGTCAATGCAGCTAGCTATCAGGAGATTTTGGAGCACTTCATGCTTACATCTGCTGAAAAGCTTTATGGAGATTAAGATTTCATTTTTCAGCATGACCTGGCACCTGCTCACAATGCCAAAACCACTGGTAAATGGTTTACTGGCCATGGTATTACTGTGCTCAATTGGCCTGCCAACTCTCCAGACCTGAACCCCATAGAGAATCTGTGGGATATTGTGAAGAAAAAGTTGAGAGACGCAAGACCCAAAACTCTGGATGAGCTTAAGGCCGCTATCGAAGCATCCTGGGCCTCCATAACACCTCAGCAGTGCCACAGGCTGATTGCCTCCATGCCACGTCGCATTGAAGCAGTCATTTCTGCAAAAGGATTCCCGACCAAGTATTGAGTGCAAAACTGAACATAATTATTTGAAGGTTGACTTTTTTTGTATTAAAAACACTTTTCTTTTATTGGTCGGATGAAATATGCTAATTTTTTGAGATAAGAATTTTGGGTTTTCATGAGCTGTATGCCAAAATCATCAATATTAGAAACAATAAAAGGCTTGAACTACTTCAGTTGTGTGTAATGAATCTAATATATATGAAAGTAATGTTTACCAGTACGTTACAGAAAATAATGAACGTTATCACAATATGCTAATTTTTTTAGAAGGACCTGTGTGTGTGTAATATATACACTGCTCACAAGAATTAAAGGAACACTTTTTTTATTGGGCATGGCATGAAATCAGTTAAACCTGTCTGACAATTTCCTGGTTGATTAAGCAGCTGAGGGCATTGTTAATCACTTTCAGCTGTATTGGTGTTCATGGACTTAACGACAGGTGCACTAAAATGGCAATAATTACAAAACCCTCAAAACAGAACTGGTCTAACATGTAGAGGTAATTTCAAGTTTCTCCCTCTTGATCTTTTTCGGCTGGTTTTCCACTCGTGCTAGTTTTGGCTCTCTACTGGCAGTATGAGACGATTCCTTAACCCTACAGAAGTTGCACAGGTTGTCCAACTTCTCCAGGATGGCACATCCACATGTGGGTTTAATGTGTCTCCCAGCACAATCTCCAGAACATGGAGGAGATTCCAGGAGACTGGCGGTTGTTCTCGGAGAGCTGGACAGGGCCGTGGAAGGTCCACAACCCATCAGCAGGACCGATACCTGCTCCTTCGTGCAAGGCGTAAGAGGCTGAGCACTGCTCGTGCCCTACAGAATGACCTCCAGAGGGCCACTGGCGTGAATGTCTCTACCCAAACAATCAGGAACAGACTTCATAAAGATGGCCTGAGGGCCCGACGTCCTGTAGTGGGCCTTTGCTCACTGCCCAGCACCGTAGAGCTTGACTGGCATTTGCTCAAGAATACCCCGAATTGGCAAGTCTGCCACTGGCACCCTGTACTTTGTACAGGCAAGAGCAGGTTCACCCTGAGCACCTGTGATAGACGTGAAAGAGTCCGGAGAAGACAAGGAGAACGTTATGCTGCCTGCAATGTCGTTCAACATGACAGGTTTGGTGGTGGGTCAGTGACGGTCTGGGGAGGCATATCCATGGAGGGACGCACAGACCTCTACTGCCTAGGAAATGGTGCTCTGACTGCCACAAGGTATTGAGAGGAAATCCTTGAACCCTTTGTCAGACCTACGCTGATGCAGTAGGTCCTGGTTTTCTCCTAATGCACGACAATGCCCGGCCTCATGTGGCAAGAGTATGCAGGCAGTACCTGGAGGATGAAGGACTTGAAACAATTGAATGGCCTTCACGATCCCCTGACTTAAACCCAATAGAACATCTGTGAGACATTATGGTTTGGTCCATTAGGCGCGCCAGGTTGCTCCTCAGACTGTACAAGAGCTCAGGGATGCCTTCACACAGATCTGGGAGGAAATGCCACAAGACACCATCCATTGTCTCATTAAGAGCATGCCCGGCATCATCAGGCATGCACACGAGCTCGTGGGGGCGACACAAGATACTGAAAAGCAATTTGAGTTGCAGAAATGAAGTTGTTGAAATAATGGACTAGCCAGCCACATCTTCATTTCACTCCGATTTTAGGGTGTCTACACAATTGAACCCTCTGTAGGCTGATAACTTTTATTTCCATTAAAAGACTTGGCATCCTTTTGTTCCTGACTGTCTTTATTTGTATAGATATCCAACTTCATATTGAGATCTGATGTATCTAATGTGTTCATACACACACACACACACACACACATTATATATATATATATATATATATATATATATATATATATATATATATATATATATATATATATATATAAACATTTTCTTTATTGCATGAAGTTTATTTATTTAAGAGACAACCAGATTTGATATCCTTGTGGATTCTGAACGTTGTAACCTCCTTTCAGGGTAAATGAGTTCTTGTTACTCACATGAAATGTCCAGTGTCGTTGTTTCCAGCCATGGCTGAAGATTTAAGTTTCTGAACCAAAATCCGAATGACATTTATAAAGATGACTATGTTGACCTGGTGGGGAAACAGGCTGAGTTTAATTACAATGATCTCATTTAACAAAAACATAGATAAAAAATAAACATTTTCTTGCATTTTTTTTAAATTAGACCTACAACACTACAGTGTTTCCACAGACTGCAGTGATGCTTTGTGTAGCATCCAGATGATGGAAAGAGAACCAAGACTTACAACTTAAACTCATGCAGCATTTGTGGCTGACCCTGATTACTTTAACTATCTCTAAGCATATATTTTATCTTCTCAAGGCAGAGTGAAATAAACATAAAATGTCTGGGAGACAGTAAGAAGGACAAAAGAAATCAAGCATCATGCAGCCAAATGCAGAGTGGCATAAGAATAAATGAGTAAATTCTTCTAAAATAATTCAATTGTCATGCAACACAATAAAATAAAGTGTTATTTATAATATACTAGTAATGCTGTCCTAATATGAAGACTTTAACTCATGAAATAAAATAAAATAGATGGATTAATCACCAGTAGTGATGCTGTTATTGGTCCTTTAATGATCCACCAAATCCCAACATTGTCTGTATCATCCCAGCAGCTGGAAGACGAACAGGAATCAGGAGCCAGAGATGAGCTACATTGAATACAGTGATGGTATGAATTATATCTTACCCTCTGTTATCAAAGAAATATCTGCTCAGACCCCAGGAGATGAGAACCACTGATGGGAGTCCTGTAATGAAAGAGGAGGATCAGTTAAAGCTAAAGCAAAGGAAAACTCTCATCCCACTGATGTGTTTTAGGAGAATATTTGTGAGTTCTATGTCTGTTCTGCACATCAGTTTTATCTGTGGCGTACTTGCTTCGCTGTGTCAAAAAAGAATCCGACATAAAAACCGACGACAGGAAGATAATTATTATTAAAATATGGCTTTTTTTTAAAATGTCCCACAATTATATGCTGTATATTATTTCCTGTTTTGAGTTGAAATGCAATTTAAAAGCATTCCTTTTAATTAAAAGAGCTTGAGCTTACAATAATAATGGCCATGTCTATTTTTGATTCTCTGCCTCATTGTTTTTAAAATATTGCTTTTGGGCAAATTTTTGTGAACGCTTAAAATGTGATTAATCAAGATTAATTAATTAATTAGATTAATTTTTTTTAGATTCGATTTTTCTAGTCTTGTCTAATGTAATCTTTTCATCTTCTCTAAAGAAAAATCTAATCTAATTAATGAGATTTAAATTTTCTAATCAAACCCCCCTTGCACACACACACACACACACACACACACACACATAATTTTTAACAATATTAGAACACAGGGATAGGTTAAAAGGTAGAATGTTGATTCCCTTCTTGACCTCCAGCTGCATCAAAAGATTCTGATTCGGTCCAATAATAAGAGTATTACTGTTCATTCCAATTGAAAATCTCTGCAGTCATGTGACACTTGTTGTATAGTGGCAGAACCCTATATAGTCAAAAATAAGGGTACAGATAAAGTACATTTTTCCTCCAGGTTAAATTTGGGATCTATCTCCCTCCACGGTTGACAATGAGACCTCAGGGTGAATATTTTCTAACTTTTAGAGAGTTTGAAAGGTCCATTAATGCTTCCAAGTTATCAAATTATAGATTATTCTGGTAGAATGTCAAGAGACCAAACAATTAATCAAATTGCTTCCTTTAAGTTAGTCCAGCTGGTCTTTAAGCAGGTGTTAGAGGGAATGACAGCAATAGTTCTGTTTTAGCAGATTTATATTGGCTGCATATCAGTTAATGTGTTATTTTTGAATTATTGAATTTAACAGAACTGCTCTATGTTTCTTCCGCTGCAGCTAAACTAATGCTCAGAGGGGATGGGGCCTTTGAAGCAGCTTTTGGGGCTCTGGAACAACCTGCTCCTTGATGTTTTCAGAAATGTTTCAGACTTTTTTTTACACTCAAGTTCACGTCACGAGTGTTTCTGATGTTTGTGGGCTTCCATGGTTTAGATTTATTCTAACTTATTTCATTCTATTAGTTGGTTTTAACATTTGATTGTATTGTTTTTACAGTGTTCTCCCTCTTACAGCTCTTTGGTCAATCCTGTTATTCTTAAATGCGCTCCAGAAATGTGATGTGTGTCCTAAAGGTTTTTTTTTTTTTTGTGCAGACAGGTGTAATTTTGTGAATAATTTGGGCTACGCTACTGCAATTTATCTATTTTTGGGGAGAATGTGTATTTTGGGGGGAAATACAAGAAATAATTTTTTTAAATCCCCTACTCCATTTAATGTAGCGTTATCGCCCTCAGTGAATTTTTGTGTGCCATTGACTCCCATGTAAATCATTTTTTTCTAATAAGCATTAGCATATATATATATATATATATATATATATATATATATATATATATATATATATATATATATTTCTGTCTGGGCTTCCAGGGCAGTTGCAGACTCAGTTTTGAGTTTTTAATGTTTTCCACTAGATTGCGCATTTTCCCCATGTATAGCAGGGCAATAACTAACAATGCAATCAAATTAAAAAAAAAAAATGAAAATATTTTCATGCCCATTTTTCGTCAGCTGTCGCAGACTGGTTAGAAATGAAATTATTTGTCATAAACAGACAGATGGAGGTGCCTTCCCTGCTTCTCTCCCGCCGCGGCTGATAACTGATGTTGTGAATTGCAGCTGCCGACTAGTGAGTGTAGTGCTGCTGTTGCACAGTGAAGCATTTCAGGCAATCGTACTAAAGCAGCTTACAAAACCTCCTGAGTTGGAAGTATTGTGCCAACCTGAGTGCTATTCTTAAATTAGACTGTTATAAACCCGACTTGTACATTCCCGAGGTTCAGAACGGACAGACAGGGAATAAATTCAGCATCCATCCTGCTGCCATGCTTCATCACACCCAGGCTGCAGATGACTGATTATGAAAACACGAGCATCACACACTTCCTAAATCTTACCTACAAAGTTCCAAGAGATCCTTTAGATCTAAAAAAAAAATTAAGTCTTCAGTCTATTTCCAAACAATGGCATTTTACTATTTCTCCTCAGCTCAGCGCTGATCAGAGCTGGTAGCTGTCCCTGTGTGTGAGGATCATGCTGAAGCATATTGGTAGCAGAACAAATTAGACGATATGGGAGTTGTAAAGTTTGAGAGGAAAAGATACACAACACTGGAAACAGAGTGAGATGGGACAGGGAGGCAATGACAGTCAAGTGAGGACAAACACTTCCAGCATCTGTTAAAAGATCATAGAAACAGTTTTTTACAGGATAAACAGCTGATGTGGTTTTGTTTCTTAAAGTCATACTATGCAACTTTTTCATATTTTAGATCATTTTCTTAAGCCAGTAAGTGCTAAAGTGACCCTTTACAGGGTAAATGAAATGCCATTCAGACCCCACCACCCTCTCCATCCTTGCACTTGCAACTTCAGAGTGCCTGGCACTGGGGTCTGTTTCTAACATGTTTCCTGCATATTTTAGATCATTAACATGGCTGATTTGTATTATTTAGTGACAAATTGCTCCTGTAGAAACTAATGAAGGCTGAGGAGACATTTCAGCTGTTAGATTAAGGTGTTAAAAAGTCAAACTCGCAGCGAGGAGATAGTTTCACTTTTGGTTTTACCAACTAGACACTAGAGGGTGCTAAAAGCAAGCCTAAAAAAAGTATCCAATTAAACATGCGTTACTTATTTTTACTATTAAATATTTTATGATGGAATGAAAAATACCCATCTCCTTTCATTCATTCATTTATTTAACCTTTGTTGAAACAGATTAGTCTATTGAGAACTCATTCTCCTTTACGCCAAGAGGCAGCAGCAACAGACGCATAATTAGCTTTACACCAAAGCTTTCATATAAGAGTTTATTAATAAGAAAATCATTAGTTAAAAATGATGGCGTCCAAGTTATCCTAGCAAATTCGTGAACAAATAAGCATTTTCTCACACAATACGTGCACAAAGGCAGCCTACTCCCAACAGGTGGAAGATAAACGAAGTGCATATTGCTGTTGACACCTAACCAGCAGTAAACACAGTCTGACCATGTGTTCTGTTGCTCTGTGGGAAAAATATCAACACTACAAAATAAAATAACGTGAGTGTTTACAATACAGAATGTGAATTTATCAGTCTGTGATGTGCAGCCATGGCAGCAGCTTGTAGTGTTTGTTTGTGTTTTGCTGCTTTGGTGTTGTTTTGTGTTGAACCTTCTGAGCCAACGTAGTTAACCCTCCAGACACAGCCTCTTCAGTTTTACTCACCCCATCCAATCAGAATGTACCACCAGAAGTATTTCCTCTGCAAGACAAACGTGAGGGCCAGGAGTGTCTGCAGGTACATTCCCTCCACCAGCAACCAGAAGTAATTGGCCAAAATGCTGAACTGGAAGAAAGCCACTGCTGACTTACACGCAACCTTAAGAGAGAAATGAACATACAGTAAGTTACCCGAAAGTTTATCTGAAATATTAAAGACAAAGTTCACTTGTTTTTACAGCATATTTGCAGTGGTCTCTAGTATAAATTAATGCTTTGTGAGTCGCTCTCGCGCTCCTGCTTCAGAAACTGGAAGTTAGCCTGAGCAAAAGACGGCAGAATATGGAGTTCCTGATATTCAGACATATTGCCTCTGGTTTTCTAACAGCAAAACAACTCTGTTTGCTTTGCAACGCTGATGTTTAATCTCCACAAATAACACAAGCCTAAAGGAGTTTTGCCATGTGGTGAAGTTGTTAATGCTAACAGTTAGCTTATACTAACTGTGGCGTTCTCTGCTGTTGTCACAGGGAAGCCCAGGGGGCCGGTGACGGGGGACCAGGAGGCGGGACCAGGGAAGCCTAGGGGACCGGTGATGGGGGACCAGGAGGCGGGACCAGGGAAGCCTAGGGGACCGGCGACGGGGGACCAGGAGGCAGGACCAGGGAAGCCTAGGGGGCCGGCAACGGGGGACCAGGAGGCGGGACCCGGGAAGTCAAGGGGGCCGGCGAAGGGGGACCAGGAGGCGGGACCAGGGAAGCCTAGGGGGCCGGCGAAGGGGAACCAGAAGACGGGACCAAGGAAGTCTTGGGGGCCGGCGACGGGGAACCAGGAGGAGGGAACAGGAAACCACTTGTGGGGACGCTGGAGACAGGAACACTGGGGACGTAGACACTTGTGGGGACTGGAACACTTGTGGGGAGACTTGAGCCTGGGACTCGGGAGACTGGAACACTTTTGACGTGGCCGTCGAGACTTGAGACGAGGACGTAGAGACTTGAGATGTGGCCATCGAGACTTGAGACGAGGACGTCGAGACTTGAGACGTGGCCGTCGAGACTTGAGACAGGGAGGCGTCGACCTCAGAGCTGGGGCTGGAGACGTCGACCTCAGAGCTGGAGCTGGAGACGTCGACCTCAGAGCTGCAGCTGGAGACGTCGACCTCAGAGCTGGAGCTGGAGATGTTGACTTCAGAGCTGGAGCTGGAGACGTTGACTTCAGAGCTGGAGCTGGAGGCGTCTACTTCAGAGCTGGAGCTGGAGGCGTCTACTTCAGCGCTGGAGCTGGAGGCGTCTACTTCAGAGCTGGAGCTGGAGGCGTCTACTTCAGAGCTGGAGCTGGAGGCGTCTACTTCAGAGCTGGAGCTGGAGGCGTCAACTTCGAGACAGGAGGCGTCAACTTCTGGCCTGGGGGCGTCAACTTCTGACCTGGGGGCATCGACCTCTGGCCTGGGGGCGTCGACCTTTGGACTGGAGGCGTCGACCTTTGGCCTGGAGGCGTCGACCCTTGGCCTGGAGGCGTCGACCCTTGGACTGGAGGCGTCGACCCTTGGACTGGAGGCGTCGAACTGGACGGAGCCTCTCGGACTGGCTGGACCGGAGCCTCGTGGACGGGCTGGACCGGAACCTCGTGGACGGGCTGGACGGAGCCTCTTGGACGGGCTGGAACGGAGCCTCTTGGACGGGCTGGTCTGGATGCGGTGCGTCCACCAGGACCACCGCTGAAGCTGGATGCGATGCATCCTCCGGAACCACCGCTGAAGCTGGATGCGATGCGTCCTCCGGGACCACCGCTGAAGTTAGATGTGGTGATGGCAGATGGAACTCAGACGTGGGTTGCAGAGCAGGGGCCTCTTGGACAGGCGGCACAGCTCTGGCTTCAGGAGACTGCTGGTGATGGTGGTGACGTTTGTGACGAGTGCGTCTCCTCGGAGGTGCAGGGATGACGTCGGCAGAAACAGAGGGAGAAGAGGTTTCTGGGACATCTGCTGACCAAGAGCACAGACCTTGAGGTGATGATTCAGCTCCCTTAGCTACCTGACCCACCAGAAGACTGGAGGTGGCGTCAGGAGGAACCGTGCCTCGCCAGCAATGCTGATCATGAGATGAAACCCGGGCTCTTTGTGGCTGTGACGTGGGGGGTGGACTTGTCTGAGGTGCTGAGACGGCATCAACATGTACAGGAGGGATGGAGATGAAACCGGATCTGACGGTCTGAGACGGGGAGGTGGCGCTGTCAGGACCAGACGGAGATGTGGAGGTGTGGTGCTTCTTAGATGCAGATAAGGCAGCTCTTACAACAGCGCTTGCTGACAGATTAAAATCCTCAGAAAAGGAGGGAAACTGTGGGCTGCTGCAAGCGTCGTGCAGATCCTCAGCGAAGTCCCAAAAAACTAACTCCTCAATAGGATTCTGATCTAAATGACGGCTGGCCCATTGCAGGGCTCGTCCCCTTGGGAGGAACACCGTGTTAATAACCAGGTCCATGTCCAACATGTCCCTGTCATAAAACATCACCAAGCCCAATAAAAAAGTCCTACAGGATTCCGGGTCACCATAAAAAGGGTACATCCGGGCCCGCTGGGTCCTGTTTGGTCGGTCCATTCTGTCACGTTAAGGGGATGGTTAGGACCCAAAAATGCAGATACCCAGGATGACTCGAGCAGGAGTTGATGTAAAGAATAAATCCTTTTATTTGTAGGATGACAACAAAAATAAATCCAAAAGGCTGCGAGCCAAAAATCCAAAAGTCCTGGAGCACAGGACACTGAAAGCTCACTTAGAGCACAAAGTCTGGGGACGAGACAAAAGGCTCACACAGAGCACCAGAAAACGCTGACATACAAAACAACAATGGACCGACAAGACACTGAGACAAGACAGGGCTTAAATACACTGGGGCATAATGGGAGGATGATTTAAAAGGGTAACAACATGAGACACTTAACTGAGACGCAGACAAAAGACACATGAGGGCACTATGAGACACAGAAGGGAATCTAGAGAGGGATGGAGAAACATCAGGAGACACATGAAGGAAGACCATGACAGCTGTTTCCTGGACACCGAACCAACAACAGCCTTCCTCGTCATGGGCCAACATGAGTGAGTCCATGAAAGCTAATTTCCAGTGTGACAGAATTGTTAGACTTGTCTAATTCGAGCGTCTATTTTCTATCTGTGGCTACTGCAGGAAATGGGGTAGAAGACCATTTTCCACCTGTTAAACTAAGAGCAATGGCTTTTATTTCAACAATAACATTTAAAAAAACTGTTTATCCTGTTTTTTCTGCTCATGCTCCATCCTATCATAAACTTTTTGGCTGCAATGAATAAGAAAATAAGTTGCAACAATATGCAACTAGTTATGACTGAAACTTTATAATTCTGGGTATTTGAGATGACTCAACTTTTGTGCTCTAATTGGAATAACTGAGCAGCCTTACTGTAGAAACGGAGCAGTGGTCCAAGGTTTCGTCTGCAAACAGCACCGTGTCTTTGATGAAGACGGCGCTGGCTCTCAGGACGAAGGAGGAGAAAAGGTTGATATGAATGTAGTTCCTGGTGCAGCGGAACCTCCTGTGTAAAGCATAATCATACCATCTCGTACACGAGTGGAAAATGTCATATTTTACAGGACTGTGATGGATGATGGTAAAGCCTTGCCATCATAATTTTCTCCAATTTGGACCCCATGGCAGAAATATTTGGTGGGAGGGCATCGCAACATTGTCCTGATATTTATTTGCATTTATGTGAGTGTGTGATATTTTGGTCTCACCTGAAGGCTGCAAACACCACGATGGCCGTGAGGAGGGAGATGAGTGAGGTGGCATACCCTACAGTGTAAACCTGTCTGAATGTATAGAGGTAACTTGTCTGGAAACAGAAAAACAACATTAACATTTGAGGAAAATCTCATTTTTAAAGTCAATATAGTTACGCCTTCGTTGTAACTTCAACAACCCTAACACTATATTTTGAATAAAAGCTAAGCAAAATCATGATTTGGCTAAACTGATTACCTCAGATTCAGGCTCGCTGTCATCACTAAAGAGACAGGCCTCGTCATAGGGTGGATACATGTCAGACCAGCCGTCACTGGTGCAGTTTCTGTACACAAGCCCTGACAGCAAAGCAGAGGAGGTAATCAAAGAGATCTGTTTTCTGTGGAAAATAAAGGAATGCTAAGTTTTTTAAATGGTAAATGACCCGTGCTTGTATAGCACTTGATCAAGTCCAAGGACTATGAAGAGCTTCATAACTGCATTCACAATCGAAATAATATCTCAAGTATCTCCTTCGATAATTTGATCGTCAAGGCGACAAGTCCCACTCTTGTTAGCTTCAATGACAAAATTGAAATCCCTGACTTTTATTGTTTTACTATGTGTCTTTTATTGACCATGATTATCTGCCTTGCTGTGCATTTTATTGTTGACCGTGTATTGTTTTATATTGTGTTGTTACTTTTTATTCTGTACAGCACTTTGGTCAGCTGCCATGCCGTTTTTAAATGTGCTTTATAAATAAAGTTGGTATGGTATGGTATGGTACAAATATTTCTGATTTACCAAATGTTCCCAAGCTGCAGAAAACACCCACAGGTATGATGAAAGCTCCAAGTCATAATTCTGCCACCGCCGTGCTTCACTGTCTAAATTACATATGATCAAATGACTCAGCATTTCAGAAACGTTACCTTGTTGAAATAAAGTTTAGCTTTGAGCTGTGGAGCCCTAAAGTCAGGATCTGTGATGACACAACAGACACACCTTTCTCACTGCAGTTAAAAAACTAGTCCAAAATATTAGGCACAGCTAGGATATATTTTCATCCAGATGAAGTGAAAGTAGATTATGAATCTATGAAAGCATGATTGCAGTTGATAAGTGTACAGGAAGAACTGGCTTCCTGCGGTCTTGACCTTTTCTCCAGAGAGATTGTGAGAATTTTAATACAAAGGCACAGCAGTGTTGAACCTGAGGATATGTTCTCAGAAACGATGTTAAAATGTGGATTATTCCTTGTTAGGCTCGACTCTAAATCATATTTATAAGAAGTATCAAAAGAGTTCAAAGTTATTTTCAGTATTTTTACTTTTAATTAATTATTTTTAGGCCTAAATTGCATGAATGTATGGACATGAACAGATTAAAGTTGTGGAACACTCTTTTAATCAATACATTTGCAGTGGTCTCTAGTAGGAATGAGTGCCTTGTAAGTCATCCTCAGGGGGTGAAAACATATGGTGGACCATTTCCAGGAACTAGAAGTGAGTCACATTGCATCTGAGTTTCAGACCGCAGGATTTGATGTCTTATTTCCTGATATTTGGACACCTTGCCTCAGATTGGACTGGATATGACTCAGATTGGATACAGACTACAACATGACTCAACCACTGACTTGCAGGGTGGATGTTTTATCTTCACAAATAGCACAAGCCTGGAGGAGCTTATGCCATGTGATGGAGTTGCTAATGCTAATGGTTAGCTTCTAGTAGTCGAGGCATTCTCTGCTGTTTCATGTTTTTCCTTTATTTATGAGGAAATTTTGGTTTTAAGTCTTCATGTAAAAATCTGCAGACTCTAGTATTGGATTATTTTTAATTAAAAAAATCACCATGTAAGTCTTTTCAATTGCCTTCAGATTTAACATGAAAATTTAAAAGTATAAAGTTCTACGCTATAAGGAAGCCAAACAAATTTCAGTTTTAAGCTTGATCTGTCCGTTTTACTTTGTTGGACCAATTTCTTGCATACGCTCATCTTTTCAACAACACTGTTCTCCATTTTTTTCTTCTTAAACATCCTGTAACCGCTGCACTACATGATGCCTTTTTTCTACTCCGATTTCTGCATTTTGTACCAGTTTACTCCATTAATGCTGTCTGTCAGAGAACGTTTGATTGATGCGTTCATGTCTGTTCAGGTCCACTGACTCCAACTTAGCATCCATTTGGAAGCAGGAGGTCTCAGGGGAAACTTGTTGGCCTGATCTGTCCCCACAAAAGCTTTGGGACTGGTTATCAACGTGTGTGTGCTGCAGACATGAGCTCACGCTTGCTGGGCTGTTGGGAGTCTGTGTGAACAAAGACAGAAATCTGCGTGGCAGGAGAGATGTTTCTTCATTCTCCTTCAGCGAAACAAAAAGCAGCGGGAGTCCAAATACTGAGAACCGCATCACATCTGCAATTCAAAGTATTTATCTACATAAAAGAGAAAAGAACATTACCCCTAATGATCCTGACCTTACCGCATAGAGACTATATCATAACGAGCAGAGACCAATGATTTCATAACTGTGATTCCCATGTGCAAAATGGGCTATTTAGTTGTGTAATACTTATTAAAATGTGAATACTGTCTCACAATATGACTCTACATGAACTTCACATCTCATAATTATGTAACTGTGTCCTCTACGCTTTGTTGATGAAGAGGAGAAGCTGAAGCTGTCAGATCATGAACCACAAAGACACGTTTTGGAGCTGAGTTCTTCTGCCAGAAACATCCCAGGGCATGTCCACATTCTTGCCAACAAACATGCATGAATTATTCATGTGGCGATTCCCCTTCCATGCCTTCGGTTCACATTAGAGCCCTGGTTATGTTACAGATAATTAAATTTAGCAGTGCTGGGACTGAAAACAGAATTTGAATGCGATCTTATGCATTTTTAAAACTCCATGGATGGGATTATTGGGGTGTTTTAGGCTTTGATGAGGCTGAGGTTTTGACAGGAACCAACCTTGATTACTGGAGAAATGCTGAAAGACTTCAGAGCAGGATAAGTTCACCACCTGCCCAACTTCAGCCCTCAGCCAACAGCCAATGTCATCCCACTCAGTTTTACATCCTGTGAAGACAGAAAGATCAAGAGCATTAACTTCTGCCAGTTATGATCAGTAAATACTGACATCGAAGTTCAAGAACCTGAAACTGATTCTCACCCAATGCAGAAATCTACCTTCACTGATCACTTTATCAGGTACACATTATCAAACCTCCTTAGCCTGCAGAGATGGCCTGATTCTTAGACTCAACAAGGAGCTGAAAACGTTCCTCAGAAGTGAGAATCTAGCACATCACTCCTGTTCTCAAATCTCTACACTTGTTAACAGTAAACCGCGGAGTTGATTTCAAAGTGCTTCTACTAGTTTATAAATCACTCACTGGTATAGGGCCAACAAACATGTCGGATCTCCTTCAGGTATATATGCCCAGCAGGGTTCTGAGATCTTTAGGAAGTAGCCAGCTGGTAGAACCCCGGGTCAGAACCAAACAGGGTGAAGCGGCTTTTAGCTGCTATGCTGCTCACAGATGGAATCGGCTTCCTCATGACCTGAAATGTGCCCCAACTCTAGTGACTTAAATCAAAATGTAATCAAAAATTTTCATGTATTCATCAGCCTTTGAATGATTGGCTCTTGTGCTGCACCTTCTGCATTGCAACTGCTCACCCTTTAACTTTTCCTTTTTATTTCACTCTTACCTCTCATTTTATTTGTGTGTTTTAAATTAGATTTTAAAATCTGCTGTTTTCTGTTGTCACATTGATTTTAATGTTTTATGTTCTTGCTACTGGAAAGCACATTGAATTGCTATAATAGATCAGAAAAGCAGATTTTAAACCTTTTATATATTTGTACAAAGGGTATCTTCTCCCATCCTTCTGTTTCTCACAATAAAGCAACCATTTCCCAGTCCGACATAAAGGAGCTGGAGTGTTATTGTTCTAACAAGCCCTGGATTATTCATCTCAGCATCTTCTCTGTCACCGTCAGGCTGACTCAGACGGATATTTCTGGACTGAAAAGGTTGCTCGGGTGAACTTTTGTGAGACTGTTTGCTCAGGATGTTTGCTACCTGTTGGGATTTAAAGCTGCAGGTGGTAACCACACTGCCACCAGCAAATTCACCATTACCCATCTGCCAATCTGTCATTTCAAACATGGAACCACCTCCATGACTGAGCCAAAAAACCTCAGTGATTATTGAGTGTCAACAACTAAAGCCTGCAATCGTGAATTCCTTAAACTCAATTCTACAGTTTTTATTGGATCCAACAAAACAGAAATGGGCAAATCAGTCAAATGCTTTTAAAATGTCATTTTTCTGAGTGATTAGCAAACATATTTGTGCTTCTTTTATTTAAATGAGCCACTATTTTAGTGATGAACATCCTTAAGCGAGCCTAACGTTGCATTTTAGTTGAAAGTTGTTTAGTTAATTCATCAAAGATCTGGTCTTGGGGAGTAGGAGATGACTCAGACATCTAATATCTTTTGTGTTGAACGATTGACCTGAAAGCTTTTTTCATCTAGAAAAGTATGAAATGCAAAGACTAAAATCTGCACAATTTATGGCCTTTTTGTTTTGAAAAAGCCATTAATTATCTGGTGACATATAACTGTAACCGCAGCTCCAGGACAACAATAAGGAGCTTAGCGGAAAAGTAGTGTACTATAAGCCAATTGAGTTTTTACTTTTACAAAAATGCTGTAAAAATCTGTTTGTTTGGTTGGTTTTTTTTTTTTTTTTTTTTTTCTCACGCTGAACGGTCTAATTATATTAAAAACTAAGTATCCTCTCTGTTGTGTGTTTTATTCACTCTAAGCCAGAACTAATTGCATCCAGAGAAAATTCCGGTGTTTTCTAACAGTCTTCCTTTGAAGCGTATCTTGTTGTGAGGAGAAAAATCCCATAAGACGATAAGACGCTTAGCGCAGTGAACAAATTTTTGGAAAATAAAGGACATATTAGAAGTTTCTAGTTTAACATCTGAGTAAATAATGGTCCTATCCATAACGTGGACCAAATTGGTACCGGGGATTGTTAAGATGTTGGTTGTTTCTCGGTGCAGACTGATTAAAAGTTTTGTCACAAAATTAAAAAGTAAAGAAAAGAAGGCTCTTGAAAAGACTTTCTGTTGTTTTTTGTTCAGTGTTACAGAAAAGAGCTGGTTAGTAAACTTTAGGTGTGAAACCAAAGTCATTTCCTACAATGAATTAATTAAAATTCAGTGTTTATTTAGCCGCTGGTTAAATACGAGGTGCAAACTGGATAAAAAAGTATGTTTAGCTGGGAGCTGGTGCACACTGACAGCATGAACTGGAACTATGTTGTGTTTTAACACACTGACAGTGTGTGGGCTTACATAGCAAACACTGGAGGTGGGTGTTTTCAAAGAACACCCAAAGATGCTTTTGCCTCAAAAAGTCATTTTAGATTTTTGTAATATTTTGGTGCCTAACGTGAAAAAAAAGTTAGAATTCATCCTTTTTTTTACTCTCCTCTGTCTTCAGGGAAACAGGAAGTTAGTGAGGATCTGCTGAACCTTTTTTTTTAATATATTTTAGACCAAAATACTAATTTTATAATATTCAAGTTTATCTGATAGTTTTTCTCAAATACAAAAATCGGTATAAAAGATCACATTAAAGATGTACTTCACTGAATCGTGCAGGCTGAACATGAAAACAGTCTCCTACACCTATATCCTGCACTAGCTTCTGATACAAGGACGTAATTTTCACTTTAGAAGTGGGGGGGACACGGGGGGGGGGGGGGGGGGGGGGGGCTATCTTTATGTTCTAATGGGAAACCGGCTTCAACACAAACGGTTGCTTTCCGCTAGGTCCTAGAGCTCAACCAGTGTCAATTTAATATAGTGTAATATTGTTTTTGGATGGCAAAAAGTGCAGGGGTCAAAACTTGACTTTGGAAAAAGTGGGGGGACATGTCCCCCCTGTCCCCCCCCCCCCCCCCCCCCCCCCCCCCCAAATTACGCCCATGTTCTGATAGACGGTGAAAATCGAGGATTTTAAAATCCTGAAAAGCCTGACAGATCTGCATCACTGTCACTTAACATTGATGACCTCACATGTCCTGTGTCATGACGGGGAGGTTGTTGTTGGTTCTGCATCCGAGAAATGGCAGAGAACCAAGGGTGTCAGTTTGTTTTCAGAATTGCTGGGGACAATAACCATACACTTGAGTGGGGTTTAAAAATTGCTGGGGACAATAAAGTAGGCTAGCACAGGGGTCGGCGGCTCTGGAGCCGCATGCGGCTCTTCCATCCGGCTCTCTGTGTTTGTAAAATAATGAATGGATATTTAAATAAAATGCTTTATATTTTACTGCATTAATTTTACATCTGTATGCCAATTCTACATGTGAAGATTGTCTTTGTAAACCTGAACAGGTCCAACCCGGTCTTACTGTGAGACCGGGTTGACGCGTCACGCTTGTGCGTAATCATAGGCGCTTTATGAGCTGAAGAGGATGTGAGATTCTGGGATTCTCCTCAGACAGGCTCCTGGATGCGTCGCCACATTGGAGACAGGAACAAGCGCTATTCAGCCAAAGTTTCATCATCAGGGAACATTTTCTAAGTGACAAGTCTCTCTGAGAGACCGGGTTTGGAAAACACTCGCTTCAGTGGGAGGAACCTTCCCACATGCGCTCTGGATGGCTCTGGGGTTAATCAAGTTTAATTGTTTCTCTTTGCAACAATCTTCACAAGAAGGCAAAACAGTTAAACGGCAGGTTACAGATATTTCCATTTGACTTTTTATTTTGACAGATGAACTCAAGGATGTTGCTTGGTTTGAAATAATCACCCCTACGCACACTGATGAGCATGGATGAGCTGACATTTTAATCGTTGACGCACATCGCGGAGGTAAAATATTCCCATCAGAACATCAGAGCTTTATACTGGTTCAGCGTGGCTCGGAGCGCCCACGGTGGACAGTGAGCTGAAGATCTGAGGGGTTCGCAGCGCAGAACCACGGTGCATGCGATGATTTCCTCCCACTGAAACAGTCTGGAAACCCGGTCTCTCTGAGGGATGTGTCACTTGGAAAAATGTTCTTTTTATGAAATTATGAAACTTTGGCTGAACAGCGCTTGTTCCCGTCTCTAATATGGAGACGCATGATGCGTAGAGACATTTGATCACGCACAAAGTTTATGTGGAGCAGAAGCGGTCGGGCCACGGCAGGTGAAATGTTCCTAGCCTACATGAAGGGAAACTGTTTAATTGTAACATTAATATGTTACTGGACACGCTGGTCTGGTTGGTTAGACCAGTGTTTGAAGTGGAAAACACACACACACACACACACACACACACCAATTAAAATAATGCTGATAGCGTGGACTAGAAGACAGGTGATGGTTTACGTATTTAAATGATGATCAGGCTGTTGTAAAATGTAATCTCCATCCACATCCAGACACAATTATCCTCTATTCTTTCTCTATTTACTCTGCTCTTGTCTGGGCTGATCAGCTGATGGTGCGCGCGGCGTGCCTAACTAGCGGCTGACGCACATTTTACGCATTTGGAGAGGTGGGCTGGATGCTGTGCGTTTACTGGAAGATGGTCCACTTAACGCACGGGTGTAGACTACATATTAATGACAAATGAATGAAAATTAAACTGTGAGTTTTTACTTCATATTTTATAAATAAAAATGACGGGGGAAAACATTTATGACGTCTTTTTAAACGAAATTTTCTAGCGCGACCTGCCTGCTTCACTTAAGTCACTGCTTATTAAGGTCCGTCCAGAATTACTGTGGGAAACGGGTAATAATGGCTCTTTGATGGGAATAGGTTGCCGACCCCTGAATAAGATCTGAGCTGGTAAAACAAAAATCCTCATCAGCAGGCGTTTTTGAAAGTGGGGGGGACACAGCTGCCAATCACAAATTTTGCCGGGGACATGTCCCCGGCGTCCCCGGTTAAAATGACGCCTATGCAGAGAACGCCTCGGATAGCAGAAGCTAAGCATTAGCATTAGCGACTCCACCACACGGCAGAAGCTCCTCCAGATTATTTTATTTGTGGAGATAAAACATTCACTTTGCAAGTCAGTGGTTATCCAGTCTGAAGCAAGATGTCCAAATATCAAGAAACAAGACTCTAAATCCTGCCGTGTTCCGCTACTCTCTGCTGCAGCAGACTTTTCTACCCCCGAGTACGACTTGCAAGGCATTCATTCCTATCAGAGACCACTGCAAATGTATTGATTAAACAAGTGAACCACACCTTTAATGTAAACAGTTAAAAATAATATTTTTGCAAACTGAATACAAATTTGAGTCTAATTTCTTGACAGTTTTGCACATTTTGTTGCTAGTGGGTCCAGATGAAACAGCTGTACAGCCTAGCAGGTCATTAGTCATGATTGACTAACACATGAAATACCATAATATAATTACATTTTTAACTTGATACACACATTTATGGCCTATTAAGTCAAATAGTTTTTCCACATTTAAATGTATTTTTAGGAAATCCTGGTCCCGATCTTGCTCATTCTTGATTTTGATTTCTCAGTCTTTTCTCAGTCCTGGTCGTCTGGTAGGTGGCTGTAAAATTAACAGTGTACACAGACGAAACCTCTCAGAACTCATCCTGATTTGTGCATAACTGAAAAAAACGCAGGATTTCTCTTTCAGATTAGATTCCCTCTAAGTTCAAGTTCATTTGTGAGGTGGTGAAATTTCCCCTCAGGGAGTTCCCACTTCAAGACATTTGATCTTCTCTGTTTGAGTCACACAAACAGTGAGTGATATGAAAACTGCAACGATTTCATTGTGAAAAGAATTCAATTTTAGTCTCAAAGGCACAATTGCACGATCCATGAAAAGCATTCATTCTCCGCCGTTCACGTGACTGAGCCAAGAGAGTGAAAACCATCAATTTTAGAAAGTCACTGTTTCAACGGGAACGACATTTTTGTGTTTAATCACCGATTGAAGGAAATTTGAGCTGCATCAAAATGTCAGAGTTCAGAATAAGGATCGTTCTCTTCAAACACATCTTTTCGCTCCTAAGTTCCCCCCTCCACTGAGCAGGGCTCTGTTTTCTGGCTGTGATGAACAGACAGCTGTAAGGGGAAGCTGTGCACTTTGCCACTTGAATGTCACCTCATTTTGGATTAACAGAGACGTATGAAATGACTTTGAGCGCAGACCGGGGATTTCTGGAGCGCCACTGATGGAGGAGCAGGATGGGTTTATCATGCTGTGTACATTCATCCTGCTTCTCAGAGGTAGTTCAAAAGGAATTCAGGTGTGCAACTGAGTTGTTTTGGGTTTTAAATCATGAAATAAATATAAAGAATGCTCCTTTTGTCCCAGATTTTGCAACATAAAGAAGAAATCAAGGGATTTTTTTTGTTAAATTGTCTGAAAATAAATTTCACTCAGTACATTTTTAAAATTAGTTTACAAATAAATATGTAATGACGCTTTTTACCTGTTTGGGTCAATTACCACCAGGTAACACATTACCTGGACAGTAGAGAGCACACTGACTCAGCGACATTCCCAATGCAACTCATCATTCATCAGCGTAATGGGCCGTGGCTGACATTGTTGCACCCAAGTGTTGAGCAACTTCAGCTCTAATTAAGATCAAATTAGATTGGAAATGTTAAATTTTGTACATTCCCACAGGGGAGCTGATCGTGTGCTGTCCCGCTGCAGCACTTCCTGATAAAAAAAAGTCCTGCTTTTTTTTAATCCCACTGGGACATGCCAGGTTGAGTAGTTCATCATAAAATTAATTTAGTCTGATTAGGAGGACAAGCAGGTGAGGCCCCAGCAGACGCCAGCGAGAGAGCAAGTTTCAGAGTGGACGTGTGAGGTGTTTGATGATAATAAACTCAGAATGTAACATTTGAGCAAGCTCATCATGAGCATCATCACACTTTTTCTGATAAGTGTTATTGAAGGTGTGGTTCACCTTTACTCATCAGTACATTAGAAGTGCCTTGTAAGTCATACTGTGGGGCCAAAAGCTTGGATGTGCCTGTTTGAGGATGTAGAAGTCAGGAGAACGTAGCGTCAGACGGCAGGTTTTTGACTCTTATATCCTGATATTTGGACATTTCGTCTCTGATTGGCTAACAGCAACTCGACTTTACCATTGACGCTGTTTGCTTTGCAACGTTGAAGTTTTATTTCCATAAATATCTCCAGCCTGAAGCAGTTCTGCTGTGTGGTGAAGTTGCTAATGCTAACAGTTAGCTTCTACTAGCAGAGACGTTCTCTGCTGTTTCCAGGATGCTAAACCAACACCAGCCTTCCCCGTTGTGAGTCAAGATGGGAGAGTCCATGAATGTTAAGTGACAGTGTGACGTAGATCTGTCAGGCTTTTCTAATCCTAGAGTTTCACCGTCCATTTTCTATCATAAGCTGATGCAGGAAATAGGTGTAGGAGACTATTTTCATGTTCAGCCTGCATGAAAAACTCACAGTGACCGATGATAACGAGAAACGATGATGAAAATTATTTTTTCATTTAGCCACGCCTTTAGTAGATGTTAAAACTCCTCAGTTATGGTCAATTCATCTGAAGATTTGACCTCTAACGAGGAAGATATATTGGAGTGCATTTGAAATGTTGCCTCAGAAAAACAACAAAGGTGCTTTCTGGCACCACGGTACTCTTTATATACTGTATCATCAAAAAATATATAAAAAATAAATTACATATATATATATAATAAAATTAGTATTTTTTTAGCAGAAACCCTCATATTTTACCATGAGGGGTATCAGTGGGCAGCCATTTTCAGGTTCATGTCCAGACTCAGAGTCTCTTAATCCAGAATAAGAGATGCAGCACTCAACAGAGACCATCTTGGGCATTTCAGGGATAAAAGACTCCATGATTATGGTTTTCTTGCAGCTGTCTCTCTAAAATTGAATAATGTGACCTTTTTGTTGACTTAGATCAAATGTTCTCATCCCTGATTACTGGGATTATTTAAGTATCCAGTAAATTGTTGCAAACTTCTTTTTAGATGATTGACAAAGTCCTTTAAACTAAAGCTGCAGGTGTTCTAATATCTGTACCACAAACACACATTTATTTTTTAAAATAAATAATAGATGCAATTGTCCCATAAAAATCAAATAGAATTGTTTTATTATTAATTTTTTACAGGTCTTTGTAAGATTTTAAGCCCAATCTGCCCTTGGATATCAGGGAAATATCCTAATGAGGACATCATTTTTTCCATATGGTGCTGTCAACAGCTACATTTCTGAACGTTAATCTTAAATCAATCCTTCAAACCCAATAGACAGAATTTTATTTCTCTATTTTAATTTGTGCAGTAAATACTAAACAGACCAAGATATTAATTAGATTTAGAGCTCAAAGGGTCATAATAAAAAGACTGAGTCCTTATTTTTTCTAAATATTTCGGCTTTATTTACAAAACACACCAAACACCAGTTATTTTCTTTTTGGCTGCAAATAATCCGCACGCCTTAATCACATTTCAATCAAACCACAGTGACTTGAAAGTGGATTTATCTTTTCAAGCATAAATCAAATGAAAAAATGCTGATGTCAATCATCTTTTTAGTTATTTTGAGGCATTTTTATTTTGGACAGATAATTTGAACGTGTCATCCACAATTTTCAGATTATTTATAACATCTGCTGAACTTTAGTTAGGTTTGGAAGTCCTGACACTTTCCACCCAACATCATGGCTGCAATTTCAACTGATCAACCCTCAAGTTCTAAGTGACCTCTGTCTTGCATTTTTTTACCTTCTATTGATAAAAGCATCAGGTTTATCTCTCCTCCTGAGAGGAATCTCAACACAGCAGCATCAGGAACCCACCGCTGAGTTGGGTCTGGTTCTGCGCCTCGCTTCTCCTCATCTGGCTGCAAATCTCCCGAGCCCTCAGGTGCTGAGAAATGATGGCGCAGTCCGGATGGATTGCTTCACCCTGAAAATAAGACCCAGCTCTTGTTATCTACAGCGATGCAGGCTTGCGCGCCACGAGCCAGTGCGTTTCTTTGACTGACGCGTAAAAGGGAGCGCCGATGGAAATCTCTCCAAAAAAGGTCACCAGCAAACTTGCTTATGAGGAAATTTATATATTATAACTCAACTTGAGTTGATGTTTGTGCAACAAAATTGCAAATAAATGAGGATGATCCAGCATGTCAGTGCAAAGTCACACTGGAAAACAACATCTGTGCTTGAGAGACCTCGTGTTTATCCTGCTGTTGTCACCTCTGATTGATGAATGGATGTGGATGGAAACCTGCTAATTAACGGAGCCGGCAGCATAAGGAGGTCACAGGCTGTCTGAGTGTATTGCATGCCCTAGGAGATCTAGGAGTACACCAGACAAAAGGGTTAACAGCATTAACGCCCAGATGTCTTTGGGAATTAAGGAGCTTGCTCCATGATTTAATTAGTTTCAGTGTGCCAATATAGAAAAGCCAATTAGCATTAAGTTTCTCCAACAGGAATAAAAGCAAGCCACTCACCATCGGCTTGGACCACAGCTGGAGACAAACGAAGATGAGGAGGACTTTCTCGTGATGCCCCTTCAGCCCCTGAGAGCAAATTTCCATGCTTTTCTTTAAACCCTTCATCAGAGACAGAAGTGAGCACAAATCCAGACTTGCTTCTCTGCACCTTCTCCTTCTTTACGTAAAAATACAGCCTATCATCCTAAAATAGACGGATCCCTGTTTCTTTCCTGTGAGCTTCAAAGTTGAGTGAGAGGAGCGCTGCAGCAGCACATCTGCACCCCCTTTCTCTCCCCCCCCCTCTCTCTCTCTCTCTCTCTCTCTCTCTCTCTCTCTCTCTCTCTCTCTCTCTCTCTCTCTCTCTCTCTCTCTCTCTCTCTCTCTCTCTCTCTCTCTCTCTCTCTCTCTCTCTCTCTCTCTCTCTCTCTCTCTCTCTGTACAATCAGCTGAGAGGAGCTCCATTCACAGACAACGAGGACGCCTCAGAAAACAGCCAATGGCCTCATTTCAAGTCACAGATTGTTTGCAGTGACTGTCAGCAACTGGCAACAGTCGTAAAGGCTTCCAGCAGAAATTGATACTGAACTCAGTTATAAAAGAAAGCATCAAATATTCATTACAATAAATTCATATAAATGTGTGAGAGGTAATGCATTTTGGCCACAGGGTTTTAAAGGCAAAATTAAGTGTTTAAGGGGAGGTAATTTTATTAACTCATACACGATTCTGCAGTGTATTTGCTCCATTAATCAGTTTTCCAGTATGAACGACCTGTTTAAGGTTAAAGGTCAGACATTCTTTCAGGTTTTCTGGTAGAAAATAGAAATGAATGAATCCATGAAATACAGAAAAGCATTCGGGTCCTGAAACTCCAAAGCTGCCCAGACCATAACCCTACTACCACCGTGTTTGATTCTTTGCATAATGTTGTTTTCCTCCAGATGTAAGGGAATACACACCTTAAAAATAATTATTAGCTTTTGGATTAAGTTTAAAGGAGCATGAAGTAAGAATGACATCCTGTGGTCAAATGTGGGTACTGCAGTCCATGTAATAAAAAATAAAAAAAAAAAACAAGTGACTTTCTCACTTCTGTTGATGAGTTTCATGGCTGTTGCGGATCAGCACCAGAAGATTATAGATGACAAGCAAAGTCGAGTAAGTTGATAATAGATAAATACATTTCACTGTAATGTTAGTAATTGAAAATTAGCTTGAGACATTTTTAAAGAAAACTTTTTTCTAATTCACCGTTAGCATTGTTAGCTCATGAGTTCTGAGCTTGGCCTGCCCTGGAGTGGGCGGCTGCAGGCGGGCCTAGGGACTTAACATTATTATCTCCCGGGCCTCTGGCATGGATGCTGGTTGCTTTACAGTCGGACAGGACATGGTCAATTTGTTGTTGTTACTATTGTTGTTAGCCTCAAGGGCAAAATGTCGTTTATCACTTGTAAGTCGCTTTGGACAAAAGCGTCTGCTAAATACATAAACATAACATGGGGGGGGGGGGGGGGGGTAAAATTTTAAACAGCGTTGTTAGCTCACCATTAGCTCAACATTAAAGAGCAAGAAACACAAAAATCAACAGTTTTTGCTGATAACTTGCATAAATGAGGGTTTAAAAGTGATGTACACATGTAGTGATTATTTTTGCATTTTGATGCATTTCTTTGAAAACTCTAAATTCTGCCTAAAAACATCAGTCTAGCGCCCTCTTACCCAACCTGATATCAAGTCAAACAAAAGGATGCTGTGACTTCTTAGGGGTCGCTCCTGTTACTGGCTTTGGATCTTTGCAAAACGCTACTGCAACCGGTGCCAAATTACAAATGTTGGTACTGCAGCATCAGCTGGCACAGACTTGGAAACCACATGGGCTCACAGATCGTAAACAATGACTATGTACCTCTTTGGCTTTTTTGATAGGAGACAAATTATTTTATTATTCTATAAATATTGCAGTAATCCGCATGGCTATGGCAAGTGAAACTGAACTCAGGTTTCCAAATATGGTAAATTATAATTTATTTATGATTTAATGGAGGGAATATCACATGGGGCCAGGTTGGTTCGGATAAGGTTTTCCCCATGAAAAACTCATAAATATAATGTTTGTTTATGTTTGTTTATGTGCTTAGCAGACATAAACATAAAATATAATCTTCAAGGGCTTTTTATAATCACACATTTTACACATGTAGGTGTGATAAAAAATAATAAAAGCAAAATAATCCATAAGGGAGCACTGTGAATGCTTCACAAGCTACAAATTACTGCACTGTTCATGAGTAGAAAGTCATAGTAAATAACATCATGGATAAATCTGGGGCAGCTCAAATGTAATTATGGTTCCACCGTTTGAGACCAATTTATTCTGTCTAATCAGAACATTCTGATACTCAAATTTATTCATGATATTTCCCAATTTTTTCAACGAATATAAAAGAAACAAATTTGTGTTTCAACTGCGTTAAAACTGGGCACCTGCCACAAAGCCTAATAGACTGATTTACTGTGATTTTGTTTTCCTGGTTCCTTAGGTTTAGTGTGTTAAACCACCTGGTCTGTGATTAGTTTTCATAATGAAAACATAACAAAGAAAGGAGAAAAGACTTTGATCTTCACCATTTTCCATCTTGATTCTTGTCTGAATTCTGTCTTTTGCTGTATTAGAGCTCTTTAAATTACCTGAATGAAGAGTTGCTTTTATTATTTCTGGTTTTTTATGGCCTCACTCGAGGCTTAAGTACTCCAACACACTCGACAAATAGAAGACTGAGAGCCCCTGGGAAGGGATAAATATATATAAAAACAAAATAAAAAAATTTTGCAAATTCAAGTTACAGTTTTATGGTAAGTTATCATTTGTCAGTGCGCCCCCAGGGCAGCTGTGGCTACACTGTAGCTCATCCGCATCAGAGTGTGAATGGGTGAATGGCTGATTGTGTTGTGAAGCGCCTTGGGGAGTTGTAGAACCCTAAGAAAACACTTTACAAATACAGGCCATTTACCATTTTAAAGTAATGCTGGGCAGTTTCCTGCTCCTTTGCCCTACAGGTTAAAAGTGGGATCACAACTCTTGTAAAAAAAAACTGCTGCAGCTACTGCTAACAACAAGCTAACACTCAACTAAAATGAATACAAACCACAAAGTAAAAAGATCCACATTTTTAGACAAAAAATATTACTTACAATTCCAGTAGCAACAAAGCCAGGTCATCATCAGTCTGTGATTTTGTAGGCTCCTTTAGTTCCCTCAAACTACTGCAGGCCGTGCCTATGTGTACTCCGGTTTTAGTTCTTTGCTTCACCTCTAATTACATTATTCTCTTACTTTTACTTCTAGGCTCTGCTGCGAGTCTGCAACGCTAACAAAAAAGCAAACTTCTTCCTTTTCTTCATCTTGTGCTTTTTATTGATGACCAACGAACTGAAAATGCTAACCGCTAGCATTGCAGCTAACAGCCATAAAGCAGGTAAAGAGCACCCCCAAAGCACCTACCGCTCCACAAAACTGTTAAAATACCAACAACAACAAAAACAGATACTATTAGGCCAGCAGAGGGCTGCAGAGTGGTGTCAAAAATAAAGCTGGTCATTTCAAACCCAACTATCATTGAGATCAATGTTAAAGCTCTAGCTTAAAGTTTAAATAACAGTTTTTTTTTTTCAAAGATTGACTAAGCAACCGTTGATTTAGAGTTAATATTCTCCAGAATTTGACCATACATGATCAAATCAATGATGAGTTTGAACCTTCTTCTACTATTTTTATCATCAGATTTGAGGTTGGTTCCTATAGATGTCAACAATTGTGTTTTTTGATTAACAACCAATTGCTAAGCAGAATTAAAATGTGCATTTAAAGTCATGTAGACTTTAAATTAAATTCAATCGGGACATAAAAGTGTTTCTTGTCATTATTTGAAACCTTGATGTGTTTTAAACTGTGCTTTTCCTTTGATTTCCCACGCTGAGCATGCAGCAGTTAAAAGCAGCCAACAGTGGATGACTGAAGAATGGCTTTTAACTCAAGAGGTGGTTTGTTCTGAGCAATTTACAAATGGGGCAAATCACTTGGTTTCCTAGTGGGAGATTTGATCAGGACAGAGCTAAAAACACCAAACCTTTCCCTACAGATTACATTCCAAGAACATGGATGTAGGACTCAACCTTTGTGCAACGTTTTGATAATTCACACAAATGGATCACTAGATGTTCAAGAGCTCATCTCAAAAAGTAGAAGAGCTGAATTGTGATTATGCTTAACAAGCTTCAGCTTATTTTAGAATGAACAACCCAGAGAAGCAGGATGTTGTCAGGTCATCGTGTCCACTTGGACTTACAGGTCGAACAAGAACACATTAGTGTGATCTGGGTTATTCTCTACTCACACTCCAAGTCTGAACTGAAATATTAAACCTTTGCAGTTCATGCCACAATTCTTGATGAGGACGGATATTCAAACACTCTCCAGGAGGGAAATTTTAAGAATCTGAAACCATGGTCTTGAATCAGAAAAGGGTAGAATGCCTGCTCCAGGTCTGGGACAAGGTCCTGCCTCAAGTGGAGGAGTCTGGTTATTCATAGAAGTTCAAGGGAAAGATGGAGCAGGAGATTGATATGCAAATTGGTGCTGTGTCTGCAGTGATGCAGGCATTGTACCGGTCTGACAAGAAATATGTCCAATATGAAGAGAAAACACAGAAGAAGAAAAAAAAAACAATAAATTGGTGACTGTTACAAACTTTCACTTACAAAATACAAAAGTGTGCATTTTGGTTAAACACACATTGCACAACCAGAACTGCTTGTTTATGATAATCTTTTCAGATAAAAATGCTAAACTTTTAAATAATTTGACAAAATACTGTATTCAAAGGGGAAAATGCTTTCAGAAATAAGACAAACTTTCATTAAATGTTATTATTTTTGTAGTATAATATCAGTGTTTTATGTTATTATTTTTGGAGTACAATACCACAATTTTATGTTTAATATCATTAAATGTTATTATTTTGGAGTATAATATTACTGTTTTATATAAACGTTATTATTTTTGGAGTATAATATTACTGTTTTATATCATTATATATTATTTTTGGAGTATAATGTTACTGTTTTATGTTATATATCATGAAATGTTATTTTTAGAGTAAAATGTTATTGTTTTATGTTTTATATAATTAAATGTTATTATTTTGGTGTATAATATTATTGTTTTATGTTTTATATAATTAAATGTTATTATTTTGGTGTATAATATTACTGTTTTATGCTTTATATAATTAAATGTTATTATTTTTAGAGTATAATATTACTGTATTATGTTTTAAAGATTTAATGTAAAGAAGCAAGGCAAAAGGACCAAATTGTGCCTGAGGACAAGCCATCGACAAGCTGGCAAGTGAACTATGCGGCAGCCACTGTGCTTGTTCCAGAGCATGATGGGAAATGACGTTTTTTTGCTTAAATGGATCATACCATTACTCTCGAGGCTTAAAGCTCAACACACATCCCTTTGTTTAGATGATTATTTTTACAAAACTTTTAATTTTATGAAATATTATAACATTTTATACAGATAATGTAACATGAATCTTAAATTGTAACAGGAAAACAGTGAAACGGCTAACATCTCCTCCCCTCTGCCGAGGAATAATAGCGGGTGTCCGATAATGCCAGTTCTCTTCTACAGTCGGATTACAGCTGTGGCACCACGCAGTCGGACAATCACGAAGTCATAAAACGTCGAATAAACTATAAGTAAGTGCGGTAAAGTAGAATTTTGATGGCATATAACACATTACAAAGAGTGTTGTTTATTCAAGTAAAAGTTGTCAGGCTTTTCAGTTTCTTAGCGCCACGTGGGCAGCAACAAGTTGGTGGGGCTGTCAAAAAAGTTTAGCTAGGAGGCGACAGATGAGATGTAGCTGGTTTTTAACGGACAGTCCTGTATTTGCATTCGTTCCTTTTGCTTGGTTTGATATTGGTATTATATTCAATTTATACACGTTTCTCCTAAATGTTTATGTACACTTTTAGTTTCCTGCCCCTCCTTTCGTAAAGTGTTCATCTTTAAACGTATCTTTTATACTAACTCATTTTTTTGTTTTTTATTAGTATCATTCTTGTCTTAATAAAGGTGAATGTTTATGTTTAGCTTGTGTTCGCATCCGCTTGTTGGCAGGAAAATGTTTTAATACACAAGTGCAGAAAAGGTATGAACAATTTTTAAAAAATGTTTCTATAATTTAGTGAAGACTAAAGAGTGAAGGATCTGTAATCAGATAACCTGCAACAAAACAAAGTTTACAAAATGATTCAAAAAGCTGAATATTTGTCTACTTTTAAGAGGGGTTCGGTTTACAACTGGCATCTAGCTAATGGATTCACCCTTTCAGCTTGATTTTCATTCATAAAATAGGAATTTATATATATATATAAATTTCTAATTTTTTGTACGCTGAATCAGTGCTGCTGTGAGAAACATTTATCAATAGTTTTTATTTGTTATAAACATCTGGGAAAGGTGTAAAGTGCCTTGAATAAATGAAATATTTACAACTAAGGCATGATGCCTGCTACCTTAGCTATCATGCAAAATGTATTTAAAAAAGGAGTGCATTGTCATATTTAATGCATCAAGTGATTTTTGTTTTTTACTGGATGTCAGCAGCTGCAGAGAACTTAAACCCCTGCAACTGTTTTTATACCAAGTGCAAAATTATTACTGCAGAAACTCTGCAAACACAATGTAGATTTCGACTCATTTCTTTGTCGTGGTACATTTTCTGCCTATTCCTGAAACATTTTTTTAATCATCCTGCTAAAGCTTGCCCTGAAACCCCATCTTTTAAAGAGAAATGACTAAATACTTCAGCCTTGTGATCAGTCAGCTTTGACACCTGATCTCAGCCATTTTTCAAGCTTTCTCTGATGCCTTTAACCAGCATGCTTCACCACGTTCCATCTGAAATATCCCTAGCTTCTACTTTTTCTGTCTTTTGTAACCCAAGTTGTTAGAGAAGACACCCGTATAACAAAGAAATGGATCCAAATCGTCAACAGAGAGATGTCCCGCAGAATGCCATCCCAGCTGGATGCTTTGGGCAAGGAAATGTTCCCACTCTAGAGAGGGGGATCATCAGTGGTGACAACGTCCAGTTTGGGAGACTGCGGCGTCGATCACATTTGTCCCAGTCTGAGAGCTCTGGGGCTGAAGAGGAGCGACTGAGTTCATCTGTAGAGGCAAGTGGCTCCTATGGTCAAAGTCCTGTTCTCCGGGGCATGCAGGCCGAGGCGGTGTGGGTCAACCGCAGCTCCTACGAGCAGGCAGAGGGCCACTACCTGCGTGGGCTTGCTTCTAATGGCATCGGACCACAGTCCTCCTCTCCTCGAAGCCCCAGCACAAGAGGAGGTTTGACCTTCCACTCCAGACGCATCCAGGATCAGGGGCCCGTCGTGACGACTGTGAAAGTCTCCGGCACACCTCACCGTCACATGGGTAGAGGCAGAGATCGAACCTCTTCTGAGACAGAGCAGGGGGGCAAAGGCAACAAGGGCACACACCCAAGAAAGAGAGGCCACTCTGAGACAGAAAACAGGCCCAAATGGGACAAGTATGATGCCTCTCGCGTGGGGAATGAGAGCGACGCCATTTGTGTGTTCTGCTTATTTAACAGCTGTTTTTGTTCTGTCTGCAGAATTGTTTCATTTATGCAAATGTGTGCTTAAACTTTAAAGAAGAGGGAGGCTGGTTGTTACACCATTAGTGAAGCACGATGTGCCGTGTGTTTTATCAGAAAGGTCTGTACTTCTGATCTGTTTATGAATAGTTAGTCTTTTTTCCGAGTGTTGGCCGGGAGCGACCAGCCTTGTGTTCTGTAATCCAGACTTTGCAGACGAGGCAACATTGAGGTGTGTGTGTGTGTGTGTGT